AAACTGTAAAAGAATCTCTGATTTAATAGATCTTCTGAAACACTTCTGTGCTTAACTAGGATTGGAGAGCTGCCACCTAGGATCAATTTTTGGTGCTTGTTGCTTGCACTCTGGGCTCCCATTCAAATGCTCAGGGCCAAGCATGTGTCCTATCGCATCTTTGGGAACAGAGAGCCAGCTATTCTCCATTTTACTATGGTTCCCCTCCCCTGGCATTTTCTCTGGTACTCAGTTGGCACATCTACATGTGCAATTAATGCGAAGCAATAAACTCTGGAGTTTATTACTCCAGAGTGTATTGCCATTTGAACATGTGCCTGGGACTGCAGTACGTTGAACTGAGTCAGAGCGGCTCTGGCTAGCAAGGAGTCCCAGGAGGTCAGTCTGCCAGCCTGGGGCTGCTCACCGCCTGCCCATTCAACGTGCTGTGGGGCAAAAGGATGCTTCAACACGGGGCTAGTTGGCAGGCGCTGCTGTGGAGTTTTTAAAATTAGTTAAAAAAAAATTAGTTTACTCCAGCACCCATGTAGATGCCAAGATGTTTACTGACCAGCTACTTAGTCTTCTGCGCAGTAAACTTCTTGTGTAGATGTGCCCAGTTTGTTTGACCTAGGAGGATGCAAGTGTCTTTAGAAACTCAAGCGGATGTCTCCACCCTGCATCGGGGAAGGAGCAGTAAGGCTGATCTGTGTGTCTACACTCCTCCTTCAAAGATCACAGCTCCATGATGTGAAGCACCATTCAGATGGAACCCAATTTTCCTAAGTTCACAGGTTTTCCATTTCCCACTCTGAGAGGGTCAGATGCCTCCCCATCATTTGGGCTTCTTAAAGGAATGTTTCCTGGTTGAACCAATAATAACTGTAGTACAAAAACTGTATTTTCCCCCACTGAATAATGGAGAAAAATACATTAGCTGCAGGTCATTGGGTAAAGGCCCACTAGGTCCCTTTCCTGATTTTTAATATTGTACAGATGATAGTTGTTAGTTGACAGCTACGGTACAAGTAGCAATTTTGCAGGCATCCTTCATACTGAATTTTTCACTGATGTACTCTGACTGTATGATCTCACTCTCGGGTGAAATGGTGTTTGTCTTCGTGGCCATGCAATTATTGTTCATTCCACTGACAATGACAAAGAATCTCGTAAGCGCCACGTACAGCGATTGATTCTGGGGGGTGGACACCTGTCCACTCCAGTAACAACTGCTCTGAGACGCAATTAATTTCAGGATTCAGGTCCACCAAGTAGACAACAGACGGTAAGAACTTAGCAAGTATCTGAGGAACAGCATCCTCAGAAACTCAGTATAAACTGTCTGCAAGCCAGCCTAGAGATGAAAGACTACACTGTCAATTATATATTCCCCAAGTCACCCACACCCAGATTATTGTTTGCTAAACACTAACAAGATGTTCAGTGCTGGACAGGACACAAAAGTAAAAACAATTCCACCCCAGAGAGCCTTTGAGGTTTCTTTTGACTTGGTCAGGATACAGCAGCTATTGTGGGGGGGGAGGGGGGAGTGATTTCATTACTGTCAAATTTATCTTCACTTTACATTCTTCAGGCTACTGCAGTATCCCTAAGCTCAAGATGTTTCCAGTTAAAAGGACTGATTTGCCAGGAAAATCTAGCCAGCCTTGATATAATAGGTATTGAGATCAGATGACACACACTGATGATGGAGACTTTTGCTTCAAACCAGTGATGGCAGAAAGGGGGTAAGAAGGAAAGAGACAAACCTCTTAATAATAGACTGGGGACAATGGTTATTTGCAGGGTTTATGTATGCTATAAATAGCAACTGTTTCAAAAAAGACCTTCTCTTTACTAACAAGCCCTATCCCAGCCAAGGGACTGATGTCTCTACAACAAAAGCTGTTAAAAGGGAAATTTATGGACTGATTTGATAGTGTGCACATGGGTGCCTGCCTCCTTTTGTGAGCCTCAGCTCTTAATAAATCAAGCGAGGGAGCCTGAAAGGCAAGAGCCAAGGGTGGCAGCTGGGAGGAATGGCCTGAAGACCTCTTTGCAACTACACAAATTCAGATGTCACCTGGCTCCAGTGCACCCCTGTGTCACCTCTCCAGAAGTATCCCTTGTGAGGAGAAGCATAAGACCTGATGCTGCAGCATGGCAAGGCTCAGAGACAGAGATGTTCAGGTTTTACAGTAATGTGGACACATGCCCCTCACTAGATTTGGAGATCTGGATGTGGAGAGCACAGGAGAAATTATTTGATAACCTGCAGGAGCAGAGCCTCTGGGGACCTACCAATTCCTAATGACACTATATGATCCTTCAACAAGAACAACACTGTGCAATTTGACCTTTCCCAAAGTGTCTGGAAAACAAGTCCCCCCATCAAAAAAAAATCCTTCCCCCAAATTTACCCAGATGGGCAGAGGATGAAATTGCTGGTTAATTAGCAGTGTAAAAATGAAGGACAATTCTTGACATGCAGGCACATGGCAGTCTCTTGTTGGGATAATGAAAGTCATTGACCCGTATGAAGCTGTCACTCAGCTAGTAATCTGAAGCAGGTGGCTTGAATTCATTGGCCATTTCATAGCCAGGCTTGTCTCCTGTGTTCAGCAAGAGGCATTCCCTCTGGAGTGGGGCATATGCACGGATATAGCTAGAGCGAGAGGATGGAAATGTAAGCACCCAACCCTCTAGTCTCTCTATTGATGCATCATCCCAGGATTTGAGATCTGCTGGAGCAGATCCGCTTCAGAGATTAGACACAAGTCCCCAGACCTACATTCCTTGTGGGGAGAGGGACAGGGCCTTATCAGTGGGGTGACAGGCTCTGCCTCTGGAATCCATTTCTTCCATGGGTTTGACTGACTCCGAGTTTGTTGACCAGCAGGATCTGTTGCCAAACTGTCTGTTTACTCATGTCTGCCCTGGCTCACTTGAGTGCTTTGCAAATAGTGGAACAAAGGAATCGTTTTTTAAAATTGTATTTTTTACAGATTGTTAGCTTGTTTCTCTTATTTGTGGTGGTGTTCACTGCAAGCAGAGCTGGCAATTCTGATGAGCACATATAACTTGCTCAGTAAAATTCCCAGCGTATGATGTGTGCTTAATGATGTGTATGAGGAAGCATCTGGACATGAATGCACAATGTAGGTAGAGCATTTTGTAGCTTGATCCGTAGGTTCCCTGTTGCCCATTCAAGGGGTAAGAAAGATGCATTTCCTCCCTCTACACCTTTTGCACCCAGCCTGGTCTTATAGTAGCTTTGCTATTTTTGGCACCTAGACCAAAAATGTTGCCTCTAAACTTGTTCCATCTTAGGGCAGGTTAAACAGCTTGCTCCCAGCCCCCACAGGCTCCCTGGTGTAGGAGGGTGAATGCAACAAAGTGTGTACATGCAGCTGAGAGGACAAAGTCTCCACACCATCACGTTCTTTGGATTGGATGGCCCAAGACCCAGGGGATCAGAAACTAGTCAGTGGATTGCAGCAAAAGACACAAGAGTCCAATTCATCCCTCACATGGAAACATTTTGTGATGCATCATCTCTACATCTCTTTCCCCTCTCTCACTCTTAACTCAGGATCTCAAGTACGTAGAGGCACAGAGCATGCAAACCCATACAACGATCCTGGAAGAACGAACAACCACAACTCTGGTGCTCGGCCCTGCAGGATCAGGCTTTTAAATGAAAAGGAGCAAGCAGCGACTCAAGTCTTGTTGATGCCGGAGGGGAGATGGAGGGTGGGGGGAGGGGGCCGACTCCATCAGGGCCTCACTGGAAGGGGTAGATTTTTCTCTCCGCGTCTTATTTTTTCACTCAAGGCTGGTTTTCTGAGCTAATTACCAGGACCACAGCTGTGCTCTTTCTGACACAGAAGTGCTGCCATTGAAGTCATTCCCCCGAGGCAAGGCAGGAAGGCAGGACTGCCTGCAGCAAAGACAGAGAGACGGCTTTGCAGTGAAAACGGCGCATACGCCACCACAATCCTAACTAGCTCCAGCCAGGCGCTCCTCTGGGGGAAGCTCACGCTGCTGGAGCCCTTGCTGATTTTGGCAGCTCCATGCTGCTGGGAAGCTGGCGGATGTGGATCGTTACCTGGCAGCGCACGCAGCCCGGCTTCTGGCTGGCACAAAGAGGGCACTGTTGGAGGGAATAATACCAGGCTGCAGGAGTCCTGCGACAGATCACCCTAGCAAGGGAGAGGCACTGACAGAGCGACAGGGAACGTGAAGGGAGCTGGGAGCTGGGTTTTTGGCTGCAGCCGTGCTGAGAGCTGCCATTCACACAGGACCACCAGTGCCAGGAAAGCAGGCAGTTGTCACATGAACCCCTCCAGCCGGGGCAGCAAATGGGCCCAAACCCAGCGCTTAGGTTGGAACAAGGAGCCACCAGAGAGATGCTCACTGGGGAGGCAGGGGGGGCACCCCGAGGTTCAAGCCAGCTGCCCAGCACATCCGGGCAGGCAGCGCCCAGGCAGTCACTCCACATCCTGGCTCCTGACCCCCAAGCCCTTCTGCATGTTCTGGTCACACAGCGCCCCCTAGCGCCCACGCGGAGATCTTCCGACCCTCGCCGGCCACCGTACCTGGCCACTCCCCCGCCCGCGGGGAAAGGGGAAGTGACGTCACGCCCCCTTCCGGCGATTGGTGCCGGGGCTAAAAATAATCCGGCGGGAGGCGGGGCGGCCCGGGGCAAAGGTCAGTAAATATTGGTGACGTCAGGCATCCAAGATGGCGGAAGGGTGAGCGGACCGGGGAGAAGCGGGGGGCGGCGCCACCGACGGCCCGACCCAGCGCTGCGAGCCGGCCGGGGGCTGAGCTCCCTCCGCTCCCCGCGCTTCGCAGGACCAGGCCCCGAGTGCCTGGTCCCTACTTGGGGCCCAGCCCCAAACCCCGACCCCCTGCTGTGGGGCAGAGCTGGGCCGCGCCGCCTTCCGGATTGGGCCCGGGCCACGCCCCCTCCCCCCAGGCCTGGTCCCCAGCAAGGCCAGGTGGGGCCCCGCCACGCGCTGCATCAGGACCACTGTCCTGCAGCCGGACGGGGCACTGCACAGGCAGCTCATCGGGCAAAAACATCGGGCTTTGAAATCCGTATTGACACGAAATCCCATTGAAATACTTGCAGGGCAGTTGCCGGGTGGGAGGGGAAAGGTGCGGAGGGTTTGCACGCAGAGGAAAACCGGTGGCTGCAGCCGCTGCCCCCGCGGAGATGCTGACGTGCGCGTTGCGGGGCTGCTCGGCCGGCATTTACATTGTGACGTTCACAATTTCAGCTTCATGTGTTTGTCCTGTAACAGGGAAGATGGAGGCTGGTGGAGAAGCTGGTTGCAGCAAAGCTACCAAGCTGTCAAAGACAAGGTAAGGGGCGCGGCAGCGGGACGGGCCCGGTCACCGCGGCACGAGGAAACCGGACTTTGTGTCGCCCCATAGAAACACACGGGGCTTTAATCCAATTATCTTACTTCTCTTGTGGGCTTTTCTGCAAGCTGAGCAGACCAGGCCCGGTAGAAGACCTCCCTTTGGGTGCTCTTTTTTCTGCAGTATAAGCCTCTCTCGCTAGAAGGTCTTCCTGGTTGATCATCAGCGTCTAAATAGCCCTTTCCCACTGATGTGGTGTTGAATTCCTCTCTCAAAACCCTCGGCAAAGTTTGTAGCTAGGTGCTTGGGGACAATGCACTGTTACCCCCTGCGGTTCAAATGTCACGCTGTACAGGCAGTCCTCGACTTACAATGTTTCGAGTTACAACATTTCGCACTTACAGCGTTTATAAATTGACACCCTGTTTCAATTTTCTGAGGTCAGTTTCGATTTACAACGCTTGAGCTGACGCGATGCCACGCCAGCGAACAAGTTCGCTGCGTTGCTTGTCTCCCTGGAGAACATCTGTCCAAACTTGCTTGGACACTTTCTTTAAGAAAGCCGACGAGACTCCAGGAAAACCCTGCAGCCGAGACTCCTGAGAAGACTCCAGCCAGGAGCCCTTCACAAAGTCCAGCAAAGTCACCTCAAAGAAGTCTTTCCAAATCAATAGGATTGCTGTCTACAGTATAAATGCATTAATGGAGCTCTATTACCCATCTATAATTGATTGAGTACAAAATTCTGGGTTATTTTTGGTGAAAATAGGGTATCGGGCCTTAGTTCAGGAACCAATCTCCATTTATGTTTCCTATGGGAAAGTCAGTTCTGAGTTACAATGTTTTGACTTAAGACAGTTTTCAGGAACCAAGGATGTCGTAAGTCTGAGGACCACCTGTACTTTCTAAACATACTTTCATTAAACAGCTGTACAGCTCTGGGTAAGGCTGTCATATTACAGTGCAAAACGTTGTCTGTGGGACACGCTCTTCAGAGCTTATGATCAATTTGAAGTGAATCAAAAAGCAGTTGTTGAGACTTTGGAAGCAAAGAACTTGGCTGCTCTGTAAGGATGTAAAACCCGTGATGGAAATTATCCAAAAAGGAACGGTTAGTCTAGGACACTGAGCCAGTATTTCCATTCTCACCAGCATTGTGTAAGGTGCTCTGTACTGGTTCTCTGTACTCACAACTGTCTGTGTTTCTGTGGTGGTGGATGTATGTAGTACAAAAAATGCTTTGGGTACTGAAACCTGAGATAAATGCATCATGTCATTGCTTTTTAATAGTGATGCCATTTTTGTGTGTAGGGACAATTTGTTTACTGGAAAGTATCTTAGTCTGATGTAAACAGACACCCTCCATTCAGATGTGAGAGATCTGAACGGTCACTTGAAGGCTTGAATTAGACTGGAGTGCTAAAATCTGTGCCTCAAAAAGGTGTCCAGTGCTGGGGAGCTGAGAAGAATTCTCAAAGCACCTGGGCCTGTTAGAAGACTTAGAGCATTGGTTCCCAACCTCGGGGCGCGACCCAAATTGGGTCGTGGAGGGCCCTCAGAAGGGTTGCGAAGGGCCTGTGCACACACTCGCGCGTGTGGCCCAAGAGTGGCAGGCGGGTGGGGCAGGGCCACTGCACACAAAGGGGGCAACAGTGGCTCCCCCTGCTCCCGGGCCACTGCTGCCACCGCACTCCACTCCCAGCAGCCCCCGTGGTGCAGGGTCGGGAGGTCCTTTTGGTCGCCAATTTAGGGTCGCATCAAAAAAAATAATGTTGGGAACCACTGGCTTAGAGGCACCTATTGCAACTTGCCATGAGAAGTTTGATTTAGGTAAGGGCAAAGCTAAGCAAGCTTGCAGCTCATTTCCCCAGGTATTTGCAATTCTCAGGCAAAGATGGATGAAACAACAATAAAGGCTTCAAGAAAGCAAATTTAAAAAACCCCAACAAAAACAACAACCACAAAAATACAGTCAAATTGTTTGGTCTCTTTGTTACCCTTAGAGATGCCCATGTAGATTTGAGCAATAGTGACAGTTCTTGTTAAGGTCCTGTCAGCACTACAGAAGTGTCTGCCTCAAAGCAGTCAGAAAAAAATACAGTACTACTTCTAAAATATGCTTTCTTGCCTGTGACACCATCCTTGGTTATCTGCCAAGGCCAAAACCTGGCTCTGTCCTTCCCTCTGCCCAACCTCTACCCCTGCCCTGCAGTTTCCCAGAAGAGTTATTTCTGTCCATTTAAGCCAGATAAAGAACAAGTGGTGACATGGTTTACACATAGGACTTTTCCAGCCATGTTGTGATCAGGAGGGCCTAAGCGCTGAGGGGCTGTGCAGCTCCATATGATGGTTCCTTGGCTAGGATAGGGGCCTCTACAGTTTCAGGATTTTGAAGTCTCAGGTGTTCCCAGGGCAAAGATGGTTTTATCAGAGACTGGAGTTGATATGATCTGTGTCTGTTTCTTCCAGTCCACAGAAGCTTTGGAGTTCATGAAACGGGACCTGGCTGAGTTCACCCAAGTGGTGCAGCATGATACAGCCTGTACTATTGCTGCCACAGCCAGCGTGGTCAAGGAGAAACTGGCTGTGAGTATTGGACCCGGAGAGCCAAAGCTCTGCCTCTTGCTTGTTCCAGAGAGGGTAGGACTGGGGATCTGGCAGGGAGATCCGTGGTAGCAAAGCAGAGCAGTTGTTTCTCAGGACTGTACCTTTTTAGCAGGAGCACCACAACCCAATCTTGCATCTCATTTGGACTTTAAATTCAATTTCCACTTCCCAGTACAATTAGCGGTGTCCCCTATGTGATTCCCTTTGTTTGATGCCAGGGCTACGTATGGGGCTGTCAGGATGAGGTGGGCTGGGATGTGCATGTATGGGTGTGCAGGCAGATACTGTGTAGGGGCTGCCAGCTTCCTGATTTGCTTTTGCAGCTCGTGGAGGGGTGGCCTTTTGGAGCCCCTGGCCTGCTTTCCACACAAGCATGGGAGAGTTATTACTGATACCCATCTGCTCCTTGGAATGCGAATTAGGCAGGGCCCCAAGTGAATCCCCATTCTCTGCTGAACATCTGGCTGGAACTACTTCCTCCCTACCCCTTCCAATCTCCCATGTATGTTCTGCTGCCAGGCTTTGAAATTGCTCCCAGCCCCCACTATCCAGCAAGCAGTGGCATGAGTTGAGGCACAGTATGTCCTGCCAAGGGATTTTGATAAGCCTAGTGATAGATTCCCCTTTTCTAGGCCTCTTCTGAGGAGAGAGGAATAGCTTTAGCAGCATCACTGCAGGTTTGTGCTCAGGAGGCCAAGTGAAGGCAGTTACCAGACAGCGGGTTCCCTGTGTTTTGAATGGCAGCTCCTTGTACTACCCTTGATCTTGCTTGAACACAACACCCACCCTGTCCCCTTAGTTGATTCTTGCATTTCTTACCCCAGGCTCTCAACCCTTGCCTAGCATCGGTGTTGTGACAGCAGAGTTCCTCGCCCCTTCTCCACACCAGCCGCTCCTGCCTGCCATTCCCCCCAGCTCATGCTTGCTTTCCTACCCACTTCCTGCCATTACCATGTCCATTTGTCCATGCTCACTTAGTCACTGCCACCACACTTTCCTCACAAGTCAGCTCTGTGCATGGATGCTCCATTAATGTATTCTAAAGGGACACTTCCCACAAGAAAATACAACGTGGGATTCTCCCCTCTGGTTCAGGCACTGTTAGTTAGAGGACATCTCTGTTTCTCTTTAAGAAGACAGAAGGCTCCTCAGGCACAACTGAAAAGGTGAGGAAGGGGCTCTCTGACTTCCTGGGTGTCATCTCGGACACATTTGCACCTTCACCAGATAAGACTATTGACTGTGATGTTATAACGTTGATGGCAACGCCCACGGGCACCACGGAGCCATATGACAGCACCAAGGTGTGTACTGAGTGCCCTCTTCCAGCCCCCCAGAGACATGCGCTGCACACCCAGCTCTATCTTCCCCCCAACTAATATCTGTTCCTCCTGTGCCTGCACATTGTTTTCCAGGCTCGCCTCTACAGTCTTCAGTCAGACCCAGCAACCTATTGCAATGAACCTGATGGTAAGAGGAGGGCTGGGCTGGAGGGGGGCACATTGATGTCTGTGGGCGTATCTGTGGGTTGAATTGCCTTGGGTCTTTCACCTGTGACTCTTTGGGTTTGATACTAATCTGGCTCACTGGTGCTAGGAAGCAGCTGCCATCAGGTTGTTGTTCAGTGGTTTGAGTAGAATGAATTTTCTGGGTCTTTGCCTGCTCCCTAGTTAGTAGATAAGTGTCCCTATCCCAAACCATTATTGTGGCTGGCTCTCCTTGGGCCCTGTGTTGGCAGAGAGCAACAAATTCCAAGCTCTCTTCCACTCCTTCCCATCCCCTTCAGGGTAGAGCTGTGGCATCCTGCGGTGCTGTGTCTAGGAAGCCTGCCAGGCAGGTTCCTGCTAAACCTGTTCTGGGGGTTTTGGAGGTGAAAATTCAGCACCTTGCACTGTGAGCCCAAGGTGGCCTTTCCAATTGGGTGGGGGCAGGGCAGAGTAAGCAGCAAGCCCATGTGCTGGGGCAGGGGGTCAGCAGATGGACACATGCCTTTCCCTGGCTGCTGTGGGATTCTGGTGCTGTTACATGCACTTGGGCCTCATCACCAATTAACAGGAGACAGGCTTAAAACAAACAGGAGGAAATGTTTTGGGTTTTTTTTATACAGCATGTAGTTAACATGTGGACTTTGTTGTCACAGGATGTTGTAGAGGCAGAGCAGTATAATCAGGTTCAAAAAGGGATTAGACACATTTATGGAGGACAGGTCCTTTGGTAGCTGTTAAACAGAACAGTCGAGATGTGTCCTCCGACATCCCTAAACCAATGACGGTTGATGCCAGAGAGACTGACGGGGCTTGGACTGCGATAGACATGCCCTGTACATATGCTGTCCTTCCACAGCATTTGCTGCTGGTGCTGTCAGAGATAGGACCATGTGTTAGATGGACTGTTGGCATCTTTCCCATTAAGCTTGCTGGATTTTGGTTCCTTCCATGACTGCTTTGGCCTCACTGTATGTGTTTGCCCTGTGCAGGCCCTCTCGAGCAATTTGAGGCTTGGTTCTTGCAGTTTAACCTGGAGGAGAAGAAAGGGGAGATCTCAGAGCTGCTGGTGAGCAGCCCCTCCATCCGGGCTCTCTACACCAAGATGGTGAGGCACTGCTTGTTTCCTTAACTCTCTCTGCAGGACCTGACATCACCCAGGTGTGGGAAGCATGGGGGATGTGAGTGGGGGAGTTTGTACTTCTTGGGCCTGGAGCCTGAGACAGATGGGACTGGACTGTGGGCAGGTGAGCCCGACCATGTGCAAGCAGCATACAGAGCACCTCTTTTTTTTTTGCCTGTGAGCTGCAGTACTTTGCCACTATGTTTGAGCTCCTGATGTCTGTCTTAGCATGCTCAGGCCCCTGAATATGTGTGCAGTGCATCTCGTACATCCAGCTGGTCCTCTACATCTGACAATGCAGGAAGCTTTCCATGAAGGGGGCCTCTGCCCAGAAGGGAGGGACGGGAAGGAAGAGACCAGCAGTCAAGCTGTGAGGTGGGGAAGGTAGCCAGATTGGTGGCTAGCAATTAGAGCAGGTGGCCAGGAGTCCACACGCCAGGGTTCATGTCTCAGGTGGAAGCCACTCTCCCTCCTGAGGAATGGTGCTACCAAGAAGGGAGGGTGATTCTTGATTTAGGCGCTTGTTATCTTTGCTTCCAGGGGCCTTTGGTGGTGCCGGGGACTTAATGAGGGTGGAATAGTCTCTCTCCTGGGTGGGGCAGCATGAAATTATGATGTGCAGGCCAACATGTACAGCTGGGTGACTTGTGTGAGACCCTGTTCTTTCCCTTAGGCTAGCAGGGCTGGGCATACTCTTGAGGTGGTGCATTCAGTCTGTGGGAGGGGATCTGGTGGAGTGATCCTTGGGCTGCGGAAGCAGCTGCATGTCTAGTGCAAGCCCCTGGGAGCTGTGCTGTGCTGTGCCAGGAGGACGGTGACTGTGCACCTTCAGGCCTGGTCAGGGAGCTCCCCGGGGCTGTGTCAGGCTGCACCCAGGTCCCTTCATTAAGACCCTTCCTTCTTGTTTCCTCCCATTGACGCCAGGTCCCGGCAGCCGTGTCCCATTCTGAGTTCTGGCAGCGTTACTTCTACAAAGTGCATCAGCTGGAGCAGGTGGGTTGAGTGGGAGGTGCAGGGGACTGACATATGAAATGTAACAGGGAAGGTGCTGCCAACCCCCAAATTACAGCTGGGGACCAGCCCGTTTTCTCTGCGTCCTTGCCAGTGGTGACGCTGTGCTGAAGAGAGGGATCTGGGAGCATGAGATGGGAGTCCAGCTGCTGATTGCTGGTCTTATGGATTCATGCAGGAGGAGGTTCGGAGGGAAGCCCTGAAGCAGAGGGCCGAGCAGAGCGTGCATCATGAGGAGCCAGGTTGGGAAGAGGAAGAGGGTAAGCTGGATGGTAGGGAAGCCCAGAGTGGGTGTGAGCGCTAGGTTGGGTTTTTAAGGGAGAGGGGGTGTCTCTTCAGCTGCAGCACTCCCCTCCCTCCTGGTGTTTCTATAGAAACCGGAGTTTGGGCCCCAAACCTCTCTCTGGTGCTGTTAGCTGCGCTGTGCTAATGGCACCTGGAGCTGCAGTGTGGGCGAGATGGATTCTTCCAGCACTGCTGCTTGCAATCCTCTTCAAACAGGGTTCCGTACAAGACCCCGCAGTGAAAGTGCTGGTGTCTGCCTGCCTTGTTGCCTGACCCCCATCACAACTCCCTCAGGGAGCTTCTAGCCAGGAGGGGGTGGAGTCTGGCTGGCCCCTGCAGGACAGGCACGGCTTTCCTCCATGTTCTGTGCCCAGAAGGGCCAGACACTGTGCCCAGCACTGCCCTGGGAGGCTTGGGCCACAGCTGGCTGTTGTGCTCAGCCCCCAGAGTGAGTAGCCCCACAGCTGTCCTTCCTATCCAGGGTGCCGCCTGCTCTAGTGCTCTCCCCTCTGCGGATGTGTCTCTAGAGTGGGCAAGGAGTTAACAGGGTTGTTGTTGGGACTGCCTGGGCAGGGGGGCTCCCTCCCAGCAGTGATGATCTCCCCAGTGATGCTTTGTGTTAAGTTGCTGAAACTTGCTCTTGCCCTCCATCCACAGAGGAGTTCCTGGGCATGTCGCCCCTGCCTTGGGTGAAGTCACCCGACGAGCCCAAGAAGCCAGTGGTCCCAGCCACTTTGGAGGGAAGCCCCCTTCCCAGTCCCCAGGAGCCCTCCAAGGAAAGCTGGGCTGTGCTTGCTGCTTCCCAAGCCCCCGTGGAGGTGACCCCCTCTGCGAGCAGCGAGAGCGTCTCCCTTGTGACTCAGATTGCAAACCCTGCCTCTGTGCCTGACACACAGCTAGAGACTGGAGCGCAGCTGCCAGTTGGGCCTAGGAACCTCTCCCAAAGGCTTCTGGAAGCGACTGCTGAAGAGCCAAAGCCCACAGAGTCTGCACATCCTCCTGCAGCCACTCGGGAGCGAGCAGCCTCCTCTGAGCAAGCGGGGCTCAAGGAGCAGGCAGAGGGCAAGCCCCCGGGCAGGACAGAGACTCTGAGAGAGGATGGGCCAACGGATTTACGAGTCTTCGAGCTGAACTCGGACAGTGGGAAATCTACTCCCTCCAACAACGGGAAGAAAGGTGGGTGCACAGGGCCAGGATCTGCTGTCAGCACTGAGCCACCCTGGGAACCCCTGCTAAGCAATGAAGGGCATGGGATTCAATGCAGGGTGAATATGCTCTGTCCCTGGGTGTCTTAAGCTCAGTCAGATGTACATGGAGCTGGGGTTCCTTGGTGGATGACCCATTAGCTGCATTGCTTATCCCATATTGGGAGCCTCTGGCTGCTCAAGTTTCCTGTATAACCCGTGCTCCAGTCCCCCTGTCTGAGTGGATGCTCCTGGCAGGCAGTCTGCAATGGAGAAAACTGTAGGCCAGTCAAGCATGAGATCTCTGCTCCATGCCTGAACCGCCTTCCCCCCCGCTCAGTGCATGTCATATAGTGAGGGGCAAGTGTATTCTCCGGCTGTGTTGGTGGGGAGGTGGTCGTGCAGGCTCAGCCCTGGGTATGGTGAAGCTGTGGTTTCATTACCAAATTTAAATCACTTGCTAGTTTTCCCTGGGGTTGGTCAAACTGGCAAGATCCTGATTTGCCCTGTGTAAGAAGGACTCAGAAACCACACTGAAGCTGCTGCTTGTTAGGCTGGCTCTGAAGGCTTAGGCTGGTAGGGTGCAGGTCCAGCACTTCCTCAGCCATTGGGAGACGGAGATGCCACTATCAAACCACCTCTCCTGAAGGAGATTTGCGGCACAGAGACAGGGCCCTTGATTCACTAACTCCCTGGCCAGAACACCGATAGGGAATAGGCAGCATGAATGGTGAAGGGGCCAGTGCAGCACTTGATTTGGCTTGTTCTGTGTTGGGTGTAGATGGTCGAGTGAGACTTCACAGAAATCTGTGCCCCAGTGGGACAAAGCAGGTCATCCTCTTCTCCCTTCCATCTGTCTGGCTTGGGGGAGATGACATTCTTGTTCCCTCATAACCATGCCCTGTACCTCCTGGAAGTGCCCCTTTCTGTCCCTTAGCCCAGTGCGTGCCAGGGGCTGGTGCTGTCATGGCTGAGGTGCTGGTTGCCTGAGGTGACTCTTACTCCTTTTTTTTTTTTTTTGGTCAGCAATTAAAGCTGGACTTGCTCTTGTTTGCTAGAGTTCAGCCTGGGGGTGGGGAGCGGGAGCTGAGTGGTTTCCCTGCCTCTTGCCCTCTGCAAGTAGATGTGACTCCAGGCTCAGAAGTCCAGTTCCAGTTGGGTATGTCCCCTCCCCTGCCCCATTTCCCCATCCTGGTGCCGTCTGCCAGTAGGGAGCTCCTGACATGTTATATGGGGACGCGGCAGCCTTTGGACTTCCTGCCCTTTGGCTTCTCATTTGCACTGCACTGCACTCGTTGGCCAGGCTGCTGGCAAGTCAGAAATTCTTGAATGCAAAGAATTGCAGTGCCCATTCACAGTTGGCACCTGCCGTAAGCAGGCTGTGTCTGGAAAGCCAGCACAATCTCCACAGGGTGATTAAAATGAAGGGGAGTTTGCTAAGACCTGTTCACAGTCTTCTGCCTTGGATTCCTGATGTGATGCAGCTCACATGGAGCCTGGTGGGGAGTGCTCTTGGCATTCCT